GGGAAGATCACTTCTTTAAAGAAATACATCTTTATTCTATCTGTTGTCCTGTGGTGTTTCAATAGTGGAATGTGGTTAGCATAATTTCTTTTGCATTTTAGCTTGTGGTGCATTCATATTTTTAAAAAGTCAGCTGAAAAGTCAAATCTATGTGGTTTTCTTAATAGTAATTTTCTTTCTAATTTTGAGAGCGACCTAGATCAGGGTTTACAAAGTTTATTAGACATATATGGATCATTCCAAAGATCTCCATTTGAACAAGAAATGCCAAAGGATTGTAAGGTGGAGAGGTCCTACAATGTGTTGCGAATAGATCTATTAGTTGCTAGAGCAGAGAGGGAAACCCCATCTCCCAGAAGATATAGTATTGGACGATCTTGTGAATTATAAAATGATAATAATGAAGTAGATGTTAATCTGAATGAGCACATGTAAGGATTACACAGTAAGTGTGTGGTATTTAGTGAATGAATGTGTAAAATGCAAGGGAAATTATGGACACTGCACCTCTTAAACTGGAGGTTTAAGCTATGGTATTCTCTTAAATCTTTAAAGAAGTCATACCTTCAGTACTCATTGTTAGGTATACGTGGCAAACCAAGCATATATATAGTTCCTACCTTCAGGGAGCTTAGAGACTTGAGTGGGAATATAGACCATAAATAAATAATTGCACATTATGCAGGGGCAGTTTTGATAAATGCTATGAAGGAGAAGTTCAGGGTGCTATGAGAGTGGGCAATGGGGACCTCCCCTAGTTTGGCAACTGTCCAAGGTCAGAGATGTTTTCATGAAGAAGTGAGGTTTAAATTGAGGTAGTCAAATGGGTCAGGGATTCCAAGACCACACCCAGGTTCATGATTTGCTTGGAGTACTCATAGCTCTGATTTATTACAGCAGAAGGATAAAAAGCAAAATCAATAAAGGTACGTGGCATATGGAGTGAAGTCCAGAGAAAATTGGGCACAAGGCTCTGAGAGTTGTCTCCCAGCGGAGTCACTCAGGGACTGTGCTAATTGTGACAACACGTGTGAAAGGTTGTCTTAACAGGGAAGCTCATTAGAGGTTCAGTGCCCAAGGATTTTATTGGGGTTGGTCACTTAGGCACCCTCTGCCCAGAACATATCAAAACTCCAGACTCCCAAAAAGAGAGTGGGTTTGGCATCAACCATATTGTTTGTGCAAACAGTTTAGGCAAAGGGAGCTACTTTTCTCAGTTCTGGGAGTGGTGGGAAGCCCCAAAAATTCAAGTTCCCAGAGGCCAGCCAAGAGTTGACTTTGTGAGCCAGTCTTTCTTAGTGTAGTGTCCACAGGCTGTGTTAACGTCTTCTGTACAGCAGAATGCCTGAAGAAAGGAGGCATGAAATGACATGAGGTATTGGCCTTGCTTCAAAATATTCAACAAAGCAAAAAAGGAGGGGATATATGAGGCAAATGGGGGAAAATCTTGATCGTTGTTGGCTTTGAGTGGATGGGTAGTTGGAGGTTTATTACATTGGTTTCTCATTCTGTTTGAGAATTTTCATAATAAAAAGTCAAAAAAAACCCAAAGCCTCCAAATCAAACTATAAAAATAAAAAGAAGAAAGAAAGGTAAATGTTGGCCAGGAGGCTAGATTTTGCTTTAGTTCAATTTGGTTCAGGTTAATTATAAAAATTTAATTTAATAACTAATTCAGTATAATTCAATTAATTCAAGATTTTTTTTATTTTTTTATTTGAAGCCTATTATTTGGCAGGGCTGTAGCTACCTCCCCTGAAAGGTGCAAAGATCAACAAGACACCTGATCTTCATGTCTTTGGGCTCATCTATGAAATGAGTGTGTTCATGAGTTCCCCCTCACTTGGGTGTTGCAAGGAATTGTTGGATAGTGAGAGAAACCAGCTGCTGCAAGTTCCATCAGCAGCCCTGAATGCTATAATGCATGCACATTGCCACCCTGGGAAGGCATGTGATCCTCTCATTGCCTTAGAAGAATATTCAGTGAGCAGAACCTTCCTGAGGGAAGAGGAAATGATGACAGAGTGATTGCCTTGGAGAATTGCCTTGGCAGTGGCCTGGCTGGGGAAGAGGGCCTGTCAGGGTCCTCCCTTGGAGGAGATCTGGATGGGGAAGGCCGGATGATGGGCGCTAGCTTTTATGTAAAAGGGAATAGATAAGCTATTGAATGGAAGCACATCAGAAGTGGCTTTATTTGAAAATGCTTTCAAAAGCTGTTTTGACAAGATCAGGGAGGAGGCGATGGTATCATTAAATAAGCTGGCAACTTTTGTAACCAGCTTTTTGGTTTCCCACCCCAAGGGAGAGCCAATAAACTTTGATTCCCAGCGTTAATGTAATTATTTTGATTTTTCTGGCTCCTTCTAAGTAAGGCAGCAGAACTGCAATATTAGATGGCCGAAAGCAATTCAGAAATCTCGTGTCCCCAAGGACACCCGCTGCCATTCAGAAGTAGCAGGAGAGGGGGTGGAATAAATTATTTCCTCTGATCTTGTTAGTGTTGAGCATATTATGGGGAAGCAAATGCGTTGCAGCACTAATGCCAGAAGGTTACTGCAGGCAGAGGAAAAAGAACAAAATTTCTCTGCTTTTTCAAAGGTTTACTTCAAACATTATTTCCTCTTTATATATTTTAAAAATTGTTGTGTGAGGGGTTTTCCTCTTCCCTTCTGATTCTGAAGGGTCTTCCTTCTATATCATCATGCTGCCTGTCATCCAGGGATTCTCCCTGATACTGCCCCTGGCAGCTGTAATAGACTTCTTAATGTCTATTGTTACTCCAGTCTGTGTTCGGTTCATTTAGCGTAAATGGTCCTATCATTCTGGGAGGTTTCCTTGGGCCCAGTGAGAAATGGCTTTCATGAATAGACAGGCGTGCTTGACTAGGCCAACCTTTTTTTTTTAGGAGAGATAGAAACATCAGTGATGAGAAAGAATTATTGATTGGCTGCCTCCTGCTGGGGATTGAGCCCAGAACCTGGGCATGTCCCCGGACCAGGAATTGAACTCTGACTTTCTGATTCATTGGTTGATGCTCAACCATCTGAGCCACACTAGCTGGGCTGTATTTAATTTTTAAATACCAGCTGATTCAGGGTTTTTAAGATGATGGACAGTCACAAAAGGAATACATAATTGAAATTTCCTAATGATGGAGCAGAGGCAAAGAATATATTCATCTTGAGAAGTTATAACAACTTTGATCCGAGGATATGTATATAGTTGTAAAATTTGTCCCCTAAGCAATAAATTTAAAGATGATATGTATGCATTTATGTAATTCTTTTTTTTTCCAGTTCGAGGATTGTTAATAATTTAGTATTGGGCTCCTCTTACTGTAAACGGTAAACAAAGCTCGAGGACTAGGCCACTGGCATTGGCTATAAATCATCATCTTCACATCAGTAGTGACAGCCAGGCCTTGACTCTCATTGCGCTGTGAACATTGTT